AAATCAATAGAATAACTCTTTCGTTGTATTATTACCCAATAACAATCATACATCAACTGCACTTTATTCTACAGAATTATCAGAAGATATAGAAGATTCATTATCTTCTTCATTTTGTATCTTTTTAGATGATCTAATACGTAACTTTAGGATTGATATATAATATATATGGGAAATTCTTCTTGAGCGTTTTATTATTATTTTTTTTGAGTAAAACAATTGATTTAAAATGAAAAAATAATACATATGCTTTTATAGTATAATAATTAAACTTTTATTAAAACTGATAAAATAAAATATAAATTGATTACATAGATATTAAATAAATTGTATACTGTAAACAGTAAAGAAAAAAAAATATTGTTTGCTTATGTAATTTGTAATTATCAGAATTTTCTTTATTTACGATATTGATTTCTGAATTAAGAAATATTAATCAATTTAGAATATAAAAGACTTTTTGCGATTGATTGATATAAAGACTTTCTAAGACTTTTACGATTGATTGATATAAAATCATGATATAAATACTTTTTAAGACTTTTAAGACTTTTATGATTGATTAATTTAAAATTAGAATGTTTAAAGACTTTTGTGATTAATTGATTAAATATTATCCAGATAATTTTTTAATTGATTTTTTTTTCGTATTTAATTGATCGTTATTTTCAAATTTAAACAAACTTCTTTTTTTAATTTTCATTTGTACTTTAATATAACTAAATGAAAATTTGGTAAATTGAAAAATTCTTAAATAAATATTATCTATTTATTTAAAACTTTTATTATTATAGAATTGAAACTGTCCAACGAGAATGAGGATATGTTACAAAAATTTATTAATATTTGTTCCTATTATAGTATCATATTTTTAATCAATACTATACATAATCTTACTTATAGCTTTAAACAATAAAACTACTCTAACGAAAAAGGCTCTAGTGAAAAAAATACGAATACGAAAAGTAAATTTAAGTATAACTCCTGCAAAAGTAATACAAAAAATAAATCAAAAATAAAAAAACAGTCAGAAGATATTATCAGATTCAAGTAAAACTCTTACGAGAGTAATACAAAAAATAAATCCTGCAAAAACAACACAAAAAAAAATCAAAAACAAAAAATTGGTCAGGAAACATCACTAAATTTTCTATTAAGTGATGTTGAAACTGCAAGTCTAACTACATTTGTTTTATCAGATGATGAAACTATAAATCAAAATCAATAGAATAACTCTTTCGTTGTATTATTACCCAATAACAATCATACATCAACTGCACTTTATTCTACAGAAT